GCCAAGCGATTTGGTGAGACAACTTTTATGTGCTCGAATGGCTGGTTAGACAGGTTCAAAAAGCAAAATAACAAAAATTCAGGAAAAATTATCGGAGAGTCGGGAAGTGTTTCCCTATCTGATGTTGCTAAAGATTACTAATTTATTTTGTACGCAAGGCGAAGAGTAATAAGCAAAAGCAAGTTCACACAATTTTTGTTACACTATGTATTATTTTTCAGTCATTTTTGTATTTCATTTCATGGGTCATTTATTTAAATAATGTGTAATAAAAGGGGGTGGGGAGTATAGAAAGATGAATTAAAATTGTTTGCGGAACGGATATAGCAAAGTGAACCGAAATTTCGGACCCTTGAAGGTTCATTATAGTGGAGTTTGACTGTATTAATAAACATTATAAGTAATCTAATGAAACTATGAATTTATAAAAATAAAATTAGCATATAATCTACTTATTCAAAAAAAAATTGTGGCGTAACTACCACTATAAATATTAACTATCGAATCACTAGTATATAAGAGATGTCAACCTTCATCTATCAAAAGGTATAGTAAGCCGCTACAAAATCTTAAGTACAAATTAGGAATCGTTCAAGTATAATGTAAGCACCTAGCTTATTTTTGCAGATAAGGAGGAAGTAAGGCATAATCAACGCTTACGTATGACATTAAATACACATTCCTTTCAATTTTTATTTTAAATTTTAAAAAAATAAGCTTTATTTACAGAATGTTAGGGAAAAATTTACATTTGGAAAAAACTAAAGTAAAATATTTTTAAATTTGAAAAATTTAGATATAAGAATAAAAGTTACGTTTGGGGTTAGAAAAGGATATATGGAATATTCTACACAAATTTTTATAACATGAATTGAAACATAAGTTTTCTTTTAAGCAATGTTACGCGGTTTGTTCGAATTTAATCTCAAAATGTAAATCTCAAAATTACCGTAAATCAAATTTCAAAGTTTAAGCTAAAAACAAAAAAGACATTCTTAGGTAAGCATGGTACGGGTTTGTTATTTTCATTTTCTTATACTGAAAAGGCGGACGAAGATTAAAATTGGCTAAAGCATGCTTACGTAAGAACTGAACGATCCCTTTGTGAGCTAAAGAAAAGGGGGGACGGAACATCTCCTAAACCAGTGGTTCTTAACCTTTTTAAGCCGCGACTCAAATTTGGGAAATATGTTCATGTCGCGACCCAAAAGAAAGTCAAAATTAGGCTGAGTAAGCCACAATGACTTCTTCTAGGAGGTGTTGGTATTACTTATTATTTGGTGTATTACTAACTTTTTTGGTTCGACTCAGCGCGACCCTAGAAATATGCTTCGCGACCCATAGGTTAAGAACCGCTGTCCTAAACGATCTAACATTAAAGTCGAATTTTTTTTTCCGTGAACAATTTGACAATTTCATATCAAGTTTTTAGGGCCGGGATAGCCTGGTCGGTAGGGTGCTGGGCACATATCCGAGAGTTCATGGGTTCGAACCCCGTCGGTCGAAGACACCCGAATGAACCACAGAAGAAGTAAAATGGTGACTGATGCACGTTAAATCTGTAGAGTCGCAAAGCCCTCCATGTTCCCATAACAAATCAATACCTTTGAGGGTTGGCTTTAATTGGAGATTTATCGTTCTCTGATTCAGGTCAAAATATCGATATGTGAATGAATGAATGGATGTATGAATGGGTCCGCCCTATAAACAGGCGTGACGTATGGGTGTGGCAGAAGTCAAATTCTTGGCCAGAGATGGCGCCACTGGAAAACGAGAGCAATCACACCCCTTGCCTTAATAGGCACACATCAACAACAACATATCAAGCTTTTGATTAAAAGAAAATCATTACTGTTTATATATATATATATATATATATATGAACAGTAATGCTCTTCGGTGGCTCTTCGGTGTATGTTAAAAAAAAACATACCCGAACCAAAACATACCGGTGTTCGGTGGCTCTTCGGTGTATGTATATATATATATATAGATATACATACACCGAAGAGCCATTACATTATGACCACTCTGCTAATAACATGTAGGACCACCTTTAGCCCCCAAAACTGCTAGCACCCGCCGTGGCATTGATTCCACAAGGTGCTGATAGGTAGTCTGAGGTATCTGGTACCAAGCGCTCACCAACTGGTCCTGCAATTCCCTCACATTGCGAGGGGGTAGCGTGGCAGCACGAATTTGGTTTTCCAAGTAGGACCACAAATGCTCTATTGGATTAAGGTCAGGTGAATTTGGGGGCCAAGACATGACTTGAAAGTCACTGGAATGTTCCTCGAACCAATCCATGACGATTCGACCCTTATGACATGGTGCATTATCCTGTTGGTAAACACCATCCCCCGCAGGAAAAACTGTTGCCATGAATGGGTGAACCTGGTCTGCAACTATGTTCAAGTAGCTTACAGACGTCAGGGATTGTTCTATGAGGATTATGGGTCCTAATGTGCCCCATGAAAACATTGTTCCTGGGCGAGAAACCATGAAAACCTGGGCGAGCCCATTGTTATAGATGGAGGGTGGTCATAATGTAATGGCTCTTCGGTGTATATATAGACAGAGTCAGAGAGAGATAATGTATAAAATATATCTAGATAAACGAGTTTCATGCATGCGTGCAAAAACTTTTTGATTTTCTTCAATAGTTTGAGCGAAATACATAAAAATTCAATAAGAGGCTCAACCATCTCTTATTGGAATGTTGCTTTTTAGATTTGCTGCGAATTATATTCTATACTTTGGAAGTCAACAATTTGAAACGCTCGAAAAATATGCTTATTTAGAGAAATACGTTTCTATGGATAATTTCGTAACTTTAGTTCAATGGTTAAGACTAAATAACATATTTAAAATGAGTTCTTTCGGAAAAGGGAAAGGGTTATTATTGAAAACCATGTTTTAATTATTTGAATTTTTATAATAAGGATTAAAAAAAACAGTGTTTTTTGCTCAAAAGTGGTTTGCTTTCTTCTAAGCAATCATTTTGTAATTATTTTTTCTAAGCATTCATTTTGTAATAATTTTTTCTAAGCAATCATTTCGTGATAATTTCTTCTAAGCAATCATTTTGTAATTATTTTTTCTAAGCATTCATTTTGTATTAATTTTTTCTAAGCAATCATTTCGTGATAATTTCTTCTAAGCAATCATTTTGTAATTATTTTTTCTAAGCAATCATTTTGTAATTATTTTTTCTAAGCATTCATTTTGTAATAATTTTTTCTAAGCAATCATTTCGTGATAATTTCTTCTAAGCAATCATTTTGTAATTATTTTTTCTAAGCATTCATTTTGTAATAATTTTTTNTTTTATAATAAGGATTAAAAAAAACAGTGTTTTTTGCTCAAAAGTGGTTTGCTATTTTCCAAGCAATCATTTTGTAATTATTTTTCCTAAGCAATCATTTCGTGATAATTTCTTCTAAGCAATCATTTTGCATTCATTTTTTCTTAGCAATCATTTTTTCGAAGTAATCATTTCGTAATCATTTTTTCCACGCAATCATTTTTAATCATTTTTTCTGCACAATCATTTCATAATCGTTTTTTCCAATCAATCATTTTGTAATCGTTTTTCTAATCAATCATTTTATAATTATTCTTTCTAAGCAATTATTTTTTTTAATATATGTTGAAAGTTAAAAAAAATTTCACATTTTAACATTCTGTAATCAGTACCAATTTTTTTTTTGCATTTAAAATTTATACTTATTTCGTATTTCCAAATTTATTATTTTTATTTTTTTTACATATTTCTATAATTTTTTAAAAAAAATTTTCATCATTTTGTCTCAACAATTGTGTATAGATCGTGAGAAGTATAAAAACTTATTTTAGCAATTTTGTTTCAGAAACGATGAATGGAAAGTCTCTGTTTATACTTGATTCCAATGAAACCTTATTCACATAAATTTAGAAAATGCTTTACATGTTAATCAAGAAATAACTGAGAGTCAAGTTTTGGAAATGCCGATTGTAAAATAAACTTGAAAAAAAAACCTTCTTTATTTCGTTTTTGTTTACTGTTTAAAAACATTTTTTTAATTTGCATAAATAATAATCTTGTAATAAATCCTTTAAAATCACGGAGAAAATTATGAATATGAAACGATGTGAAAGGAAATAAAATGTTCTTCTATATGCTTCGCCATATAGAAGAATATAGAACCATATAGAAGTTAAGCTGTAGCCAGTTTACGTTCGTTTATCGATGGGTAAAATCAGACGATATATATAATATAAATTCGACGATTGGATAAATCAGACGATATATTATATAAATATAGAATATTTATTTTCTCCGATATTATATTAGTATATTATAATAATTAGATCAAATTATTCGACGAACAGTAGTTTTTTAAAAATGACATGCTTTGCACGAGTTTATAAGCAACACTTTTAAATTTAAACATACATGTAATGGAATTCTATTTCGGATATTTTTAATACACTTACTATTTGTATTTATTTTCAGCGTATTGCAATACAATGTTATCCAATTGATACACGAGCATAAACAAGTTCAAACCGGTTTCAACCGTGTAAAAACAATAAAGCCGAATATTGCTGGGTGTAAAGTAGGAATTCATAAAAAAAAAAAAATAAATAAATGAAATCAACCACCTTACTTTTAAGATTTTAATTAGAATCTTATAGTTCGTCTAATAATTCAGCCAGGGTCTGTAAAACTCTAATTTCAATCAATTCATTTATTTTCCGTCTTATCCAATCTATTATAATATCGAGAGAGAGAAAAAAAATTATTCTAATGTGTTCGGAACTTCACTGATGATGGAGAAGAAAAAGTTCTTATCTTGTTTTAAAAGATGCGCATCCTCTGGCATGGATGAGGAAAATTAGTTCAAAAGAATGATACAATTTCTTCTGTCCCAAAATAAAAATAAAATATATATATATATATGGGACGTTGATCTAACTCGTGCCGGAAAAGAAGAGAGATTTCGGGGCACGACGAAGGAAAAGGATCTGAATGATGGCCAATGGGAGCTCTGCCATTCATTCATTCTTTCCATCGATCTTGGCGCTGCAGTCGACCTTCCCTCCCACACCCTGGGCGACCCCAACTTAAGTGGAATTTCATTCTGCGGTGGTCGGATGATACCTACCATGCCGAATGCCAGCGACACGAATAAAAAAACAAAAAACTTTCACAGGAAAATCTTCTGATGTTCCCTCAGGTAACATTTAGATAGAGAAGCAACTGCAACAAAATTTATTCGCGAAAAATTGGCATCGGCTATGGACTATTCGGCGGATTCACCATGGGATAAATAAAGATTGGTGTCATTCCCATTTAAACACTGGAAGCTACTTGAAAAGTCAACTGTGATATCCGGTGTAAACAGGATTACAATTGTGTTCAAGCATACAGGATACACACAGGAAAATATTTTGTGAATAATAATTGTGCCTCACAAGTATGCAGTGCGTGTACGCTCATAAAGATTGAAATAGGAATCATCATTTATATTTAAAAAAAAGATTTGATCATCAAAATCGTAATAGAATCTACCATCAAAATTCAAATTAAGAATGTATTTGGATATGTTTTAAATTAAATATGATTTTAATTAAAATTAATTTGGCTGTTCTGTGAATATTGAACACAGACCAAACAGGGCTTAAATGATTGTCTTATAAAAATCGTCTACGCAATAGGATGAACTGTGCTTCGGAACATATTTATCCATATTGAATAGGAATTGCCTTTAGCTTCTTGCCTTTCTGAAACCGCGCTGCCTTCTTTTTTACATTCCCTTTTTCATTCATTCCTTGAAAGCTGCCTTACCATCCTCAAACTAATCCGCATCCATACAGTCTCTCTGCCTTTCTAAAGTGCTTTTTTGAAATTGAATCCGTCTCTTCAGCGATTAAATGTCTTGCGAGCCTTTCGATAATTCTTCCCTGCCCTTCCACACAGTGATTCAAAAGGTCACATCACCATGCTTAACATCAAATGGATTAAAAAACCGTCTAAATTGTTTTTCTACAGTGCTTTACACGACAAGTTTCGAAACGGGACCTGATTCTCTTCATCTAAAATTGTTCAGCAATGGGTGATTGGAGTTGTGTCCTAATATGTTAAGCAATGGGCGATTGAAATGCCATTTAATATGAGTGCGTGGAACGAAACTTTGGTGGATTCTATAGATATAGAAGACTATGTGACGAAAAGTCTTGGACCCAAAAGATTGGCCCTGAACTGGCTCATTCCTTTAACAGTAGTTTATTCTCTTATATTCCTTTCTGGAATTGTGGGCAATGTTTGTACATGTGTTGTGATCGGTCGAAATCAGTATATGCAGACGGCTACAAACTGCTACCTCTTCAATTTGGCGATAGCCGATATGATGACCCTTTTATTTGGTGAGTATTGGCTTTAAAATTGATCTTTCCAGCATATTTCTGGGTGGAAAAAAGACGAGCCAAGTTTTAGGTCTTTTTTAAATATTTCTTAGAAAAAAATAAAAACGCGCACTATATAATGTTGATAAAAAAAATTTAATTTTTTTCTAAAAATTTATTTCTCATTAATATTGCTCATGGAAATATTGCCATGAATTCTACATCAGAAATTTAACGTTCCTTTCATACAGATTTTTTTCTTGCTTTATTTCTTCACTAGAAAACGATTTCTAGTTTACGATGCAATGAAATTAGTATTGCAATCTTATATTAAAAATACTTGCAAGGTTCCTTATAATGTAATTATTAGAATATTATAATGATTTCATTAGTATGTTAAACAGAGCGTAATTCTCATTATTTTTGTGTTGTATTAAATATGAAATTATAAATATCACAAAGGATTCATAGTTTAGACATATCAATGGTGTTTATATGATCACTGAAAATGATTTATGATTGAATTTAATCTTATAAAGGTTTCGAGGTATTTAAACATTTCATAACTACAAGAATGCAATACAAAGTATTATTGGTTTATTTTATTTCAATTGCATTAATTCTTATGAAATATTCAAGAAATTGAGTATAAATTAGTTAGATTATTTTTATTATTATAAAGAAAGAACGGGATTCTGGTTTATGCTTATTTGAAGAAAACTTTGAAATCTGGGGCTAACATTTATGCAATTCTAAATTGTAATTTAAAATTAGGCTATGAAATGCATGAGAAATTATCTTGCTTAATTTAAAAGAATGAATTGTTTATTCCTTTATCCATAGGGCACCGAAGAAGTGTAATTCAAAAATAAAGAAGTCTATACTACAACTCAAATCAAAAATAACTTTGACAGTGGATAGTAATTTATCTTTATTTTTCTTTAATATTATTAACACCTGAGACTTAACTTCGTATTAAAGTACTTGGGTAGATTTTATGCATGATTTTCATTAATTATGTTTTATCTAAACTTTATATCGCTGGCACTGAATTTTATCTTCTTACATATGTAAAACAAATTATATACAGTATTTGGAAAAATAATTTAATTTAACCTTACCATGCGCCAATAAGGGGCATCCGGGGAAATCCTGACAAATTTATTATTACATATTAGAAAATATTTAGAAAAAGAAATTCTGACGAGATCAATGGAAATAAAAACATTCATTTTATTCTGTATTACACTACGGATAGTTATGCAAGGAACTAAAGTTTTGGCACACCATAATTAAAAAATAAATAAATAAAATAAATACCTCGTATAAATAAACCGAAGCGACCTTGTATACCTAAATTTAAGAGATTAGTTAAAAATACGAACTTTCAGTGCTGGAAGCCTATCTATACCATATGTACCAAGTAAATTAGCAATAAAAACTTATAGAGAAATTAATGAGACCACCATTTTTCATTAAATACAACAATGCAATTTTATATTTTTAAAAAATTCACAATAAACATGATTTGAAACAAATGTTACACTTTTGACAAGGTCAAAACCAATAGAAGCATTAATTTTTTTTTGCTGGCACTGAAATGATGAATTTTCATCAAAAACATTTGCCATTGAAGTGAACATTTAAAAAAATTTTATCTGCAAGATCATGTTAGAGACATTGATCGCCTCGAACTAGACCAGCTGAATTCGATTAAAAGATTTGATCGGAATTCCGAGTTTTGAGTAGCTATTAAAACTGAAATTTCATTTATTTCAATTCTTTAAAGATAGACGTTTATTAAAAATATTTGTTGTTTAATGGCTAATTATAATTTCAAAGTTGAAAGTAATTGAAGCACTCTCCTATTTGAAAAGTCTATTGCGATGTTACCATTACAACTATTTTCTATCAGTTGAAGAATACCTTAATGTTTTGGAACAGTAGCATACGGGAAAGAGTTATAACAATTTTAATCATTTCAAAAGCGTGTTCTTTTTGCATTCTTAATTTGTAACTGTATGAGTATTTTTGCTACAAGTGATGGAAGTGCAAACTTCTATTTGTACTTTTGTTACTAGCTGAGGATAAAAAGTACAGTAAATATTGGGGAAAAAAACACTTCTTTTTCTTATTTAAAATCTTTTATTATTTTATATCTTCGTGTACTTAAAATCTCATTTAACTAGTTTGTATTTTTACATTTTATTCATACTTCATCAAGATCTCTATTTTTTTCATGAAAGAGAAAAAAAATAGCACTTTTATCCTTTACTTTTTAAAAAGCCACGTTTCTTTTTGTCTATCAATAGTGAGTAAAACTCCATCGAATATGATAAATGATATTTAATAACATAAGTGAGCATAATAATTGATATATAATAAACTCCATTAAATTAAAAATAAAGCATCTCAATTAAAATTTCAAAATTTTGCTCATTTAAAATGAAAGAAAATAAATTTATGTCCTAGGTATGAGTTAAACATTCGCATTGTAAAGAACTGGCATAATTTTACTTCAAAATTAGTGAAATCGACCGCCAATTGTTGACTAACTCTACTAGGTAATCACTATATGAAACTCGATCAAAACTTTAAAGTTTCTTAGAATTGCACGATTAAAGTTGGGTGAATCTAGCATTATATAATTTTACGTTTTTGTTTATGAGAGATGTAAAAAAATCTTAAATTATTTGACTTAAGTTTTAAATAATCCTTAAAAGCATAAAACTATTAATTAGAGACAGACCTTATAAATAAATAATTAGCGTATTTCCTAATGAGTTTCTTCCAGAGATACCGTTTTGAAAACTATTTTGCAAGTACATAAAAATGATTTTTACACACCATGGAATTTAAAGCAGAAAATATGAATCAATCTTTTTAAATAATGGGACTACTTAAAGAGCATCTTAAAGTCGAAAATTTTTCTCCACTGTAGTTCTCTTTGATTGAATGAGAAGTGATGTGTTGCTTCAAAATGACTCTTGACAAGTATTCTGTACATTTCACCCTTCTGACGAAACTCACCACTGAAGTACGTTTTATTGAGTAGTTGGAAAATAAGGCTATGAATCCCTTTCGATAAGAATTGTTTATCACATTGGATTTAATGAAACTATCTTTTTCCGAAGTTTGATGTTGCACTAAAAAAAATTGTTAAAGAAGTTGGAAATAATCATGTATTTTTCTAAATCTGATTTAAATTTTTTTCGTAATCGTCGTTGAACAGCCGACCCAGTTCTTTGTTTACGACTACCAATGTTCAACTCCGTAGCCTTGTAATTTTGAACCGAATCCAGAAAAGAAGGAAACTCCTGGATCAGTATCCCCAGGGGTGTTGGTTTGTTATGGGAACTGGGAGGACTTTGTGACCCCGAAAGATTTAACGCGCATCAGTCACCATTTACGACACGGGGAGTCTTCGGCAGGCGGGGATCGAACCCAAGGCTTTTTAGACATGGGCCCAGTGCCCTACCAACCAGGCTATCCTGGTCCTGACATATATTTTGTAGAAAGACAGTTCTTAAACATCACGTGCACAACTTCAGATGTATGTAATAGAGTGAAGTAAAAAAAAAAAAAATAATTAGGTTTTTACTAACTGAAACTCCCAAAAAGTCTAGCATAAGCACTGAATTTTTTAATAATTTTTATTCCCCATCTCCACAAAAGCATTTACTTTTTTAGAAACTTTCAAAAGTTTATGGTTAAAAACAATTTACTTTTAAAAAGTTGTATATTTAATGAAGCATTGTTAATGAAATTTTTCATAATTTTTCTCCAATATTTTCATTTCCTGTAGCACAGTAAATTTTAAAAATTTACGAAAAAAATAATAAAATTAAAAGATTTTTGAAAAAAATTATCAGATGAAAATAAACTCTCTCTCTGAAACGTTGTATAGTTACTGAAATATTCCCCATGATCGAAATTATTCTGCTTCATTTTCTTTTTTCCTTAGTACCAAAACACGGAAGTATTTTTTTCCCCTTTTTCTTTTTAAATAATTCTGTAAGTGTAAAAGAAAAGAAAACATGAAAAAACCAATGAGTTTGCCTTGGGATCGCAGAAGCAACCTTAATATGATTGATTCACGTTCGATATAAATCCACATCGGAGAATATACTTTCATAATAAAAGATGCTAATTCTATTAAATGGGTCCATGGATCTCAGCTATTTATGTAAACTCAAAAAACTCTTGCGTTCGAAGGTTTCTCGAAGCTTAATGATGCCAGATTTAGCTGATACTTAATGAAAGAAAGCTCCCGATTTATTTTTAATAAATATCTGAAATCGTAAATCTCGTATTCTTCCATCTCTGGCAAATCTCTTTCTATCGGTTGAAAATTAACAACTTGAAGGTGTTGTAATTTCTCCCTAACCACAACTGAACAGAAACGAACTGCGCATGCGTGATAGTCAGTCAGACAGTGATTTTTAAGATGGTAAGTTGTAGGAGATCCTCTCCTCTCTGCTATAGAGTCATGAATGAAAATTTGTGTTTTTTTAAATTTTTTTTATGTTTAAATAAATTGTTTTTGTTTATTACCACGTTTGTCTGTATGTTTGTTGAGAAATACGTTACAGTGTTCACGGTTGAACAGTTTCTTGTTTGTAAATACAGCAAGAATTTGGTCAACTGCGAAAACCTTAAATTTCTTAGTTTTCAACCGATAAAAGTACATTAGCCAGAAATGAGAGAATATGCCATCTCAGGACAGATCACACAAATATTTATGGAATATAAACCAGACGCTTTCTTCCGGTAAGTGTCCACCCAACCATTAAGCCCTGGAAAACTTTCGAATGCAAGATGATTCGCTACGGCTCAGAGTTTTTTGTGTTTACATAAATAGCTGAGGTCCATCGACCCACTTAATAGAATTAACATCTTTTATATGAAAGTATATTCTCCGATGTGGATTAATATCGATTGTCAATCAATCATTAAGGCTGCTTCTGAAATCCTGTGACAAACTCATTGGTTTTTCTTGTCTTCTTTTCTTTTACTTTTAC